CAATTGGACAATTAAAACAGACATTCGGGGTGTGGGGAGAAGAATGAACTGGGGAGGAGGGTAGAGAAAACAGTGCAACAATGAATGAATGAGAACCCAAAATCTCTGTAAATTGTTCATTAAAACTAATAAAATTTAAAAAAAAAAAACAACCTGGTTATAAATTGTTTAAATTATAAATAGTATAAAATTGGAAAAGATTTAGTTTGACTTGCAGGTACCAAAAACAAACAAAAAAAAGGTTATAGGGGAACTACATGAAATGAAAATGTGTTAAAAAGAACAAAAATGGTTACAAAGAAGGAATAATTAGGAAGGTGAGATGTAGATAAGAATACGGGTATTTCAAAGATTTCACACATCCAAGTCAGGCTCTACTAGCAGATCAATAAAAAGATTTCTGGTAACACATCTATAAAATGATTTCTGCAGGGCAGTCAGGAATGACTCAATGTCAATATTATTATAAATGTCAATATAATTATCTCAGCTCCATATCAAGGAAACACAACCAGGCTGATTTAAACTAGAACAAAAAAAATGTCAGGTAATTGTTGCCCTACTAATAGGCATGTTTTCTGTGTTTTTGACTGTAGTCCCAGTGCAGCATGCAGGACTCTGAAAGGCCCTCAACAATCTGGATTCCTTTCTACCTTGCTGTCCATGCCGTGTTCTTGACCCAAACACTACATCAATACTTGATCAATGACACTGAGATTGGTCTGTGCTACAAGGTGCGATCTTGAGAGAAGACAGTATTGGCTCAGGACATTGGTCCTTGGGCCTAAAAGATGGAAGACAGCTCAGTGTACACGGGGGGTTTGTCCCAAAAGAACATGTGGGCCTGGCCATCCTGTTTCTTCCCACCGTCTTCCAAAGTCCACCCGACATGAAATTGTTCAGAGTACGTCGTCTTCCTTCTGCAGGTGGGATAAACACAGTCCGCATCACACTTCCTGTCTCCCATTCCTGTCTGTCAAGTCCACATCTCATTAAGTACATTAACCAGACAAGAAGGGCAGATAAGAGTCCTCACCCAAATTTTCATTTTATTCTTAGAAATGATGACCTTCCCCGGTGAAGGCCGAAGGCCAGGAATCACAGAGGAGACACGTATGGTTGAGGCACTGTGAAAAAAAACCTCCAGTTTTGACCGTGCAACAATGTTTTAGCCCAAGCAGAACAGATGTAATTTCTGGAAGACTTGTATCTTTGTCCACTGCGTCTGTCCCTGCCTCCCTCCAGGACAGGAGGTGTGGGGTGTGAAGCACTGAGCAGAGCTATGTTCTAAATTCCTCCCCTGCACATCCATTCTTCTGCCTGCCTCTTACCGGCAATGGGGGAGAAAAGGAACCGTGTCTGTGAGGCCCCTCAAAAGAATCCCTGGATAGGACTGTCCATCTGGGCATCCCCTGAAGGTCCACCCTCGAGGACGGACTTCCCGTCACCAATCCCTACGTGTGGGGCAGGGCCGAAGCCGGGGTTCTCACGGGCGGGTTTTCTGATAAAGACCACCAGGTCCTTTATTCCTTGGCAGCTCTGGGTAGGGATTCACACCGGGACGTGTGGCTGCAGACATGGGTCTTGGAGAGACGGCTCCTCTGTTCTCGTCCACAGGCTACCTCGAAGATGGGGGGACCATAAGGAGGGTCAGTCACCACCCAGGCCAAGACCCCCTGCAGGTACGTCAAGCCTCAATCTGCGGCCTCGACTCCCCTGGAGGTGTCACCTGAGACCCCTGGCTCTGGGGGAGGAGGGCGGAGAATGAGGCTCGGGGGACAAATGCAGTGATGAGGGGGTCATGGAGGTGACGGGGTGGCAGGTGGCTTCAGAGGGGGGTCTGTGGTTCAGGGGTCCTAGCTGATGTGACAGGATGGGTGGGAGAGAATGATGGTAAAAATGGAGAGAAAACAGGGAAGGGAAAGAAATACCTTCCAATTTCATTCTATAATGCTGTCATCTTGGCCTTGGATGGATGGATGGATGGATGGATGGATGGATGGATAGATGGACACGTATAAAGACACACAGGTTAGAAAAAAAAGATACATAGGTAGGCAAATAAATAGACCTATAATAGGCATATCGATATACAGATACACGGATAAACAGAGACATACAGACAGACACAGATAGTTATACAGATGCTGTCACTGTGATGTGCCATCTAGTCATATGACTCACAGCAACCCTTTGTGGCAGAGGGTGTGTGTGTCCTCAGCTTTGGGGGGGTGGTAAGATAGATATCTGTGTGAAAGGAGCTTGGGGAATTAAGGGAATCAGCAGCATCATTCACATAGAGTCGTCACGGAAACCACACAGCGTCCAGACCCTGTAGGACACGGCAAAACTGCCCCATAGATGGCCTCAACTTTGACCCTCGGAGCAGCTGCTTCTGCCACCCTTACACCCTGTCCAGATACATAAATACATCTACATAAATAGTAAGCAAATACATAAACAGTAAGCAAAGGAATAGGCCTGAGCTAGGACCAGACATATATCTCTGTCTCTACCCTGCTAAATTTATTACCACTTCGAGATATGCCATTCTAAGCAGTTATACAATATGAAAAATAAACTGTGATTGCTTTTCTTCAATATGGGGTCTCTGGTTTCTTCATGTTTCTGGGCTGACAGCCCCACTCCTTGATAAAAACAGCAGAGCTCTCTGAACGGGAGAAACCATACAACAGAATGTAGAAATTATCAGAAAATTGCAACATCAAACAGCAGCAAAACCAAGTATGAAAAAGATCCCCATTTAGTCTCACTCCAAGACATAGGTTTGGAAATTACGGAATATTATCAGTGATAATGGAGCTCTGGCGGCCTAGGGGCCTGATGCTGCATTGCAGTCCTGAAGACACACGGTTCAAGGCGGGCGGCTGCTCTTCCAAAGAAGGACGGGCAATCTCGTACCATTAAATGCCTTTGAAAATCCCATGGTGGGAAAGCCATCTGTCATTTCTGACTGTATGGTCCACAACAACATTACTAACATCACCTCTATGGAAAATAATACTGAAAATTATCCCCCAAAAATGGCTGGGACGGTACGTTGAACGAGAACTACTAGCAATCCAAGCAGGGTTTAAAAGAGGCCGTGGCACTACAGACGTAAGGCCAGTGTCTGATGCATCTTGAGTGAAAGCAGAGTATGCACAGGAATGTCATCTGTTCTTCATTGGCTCTGCAAAGGCATTTATTTGCCTGTGTGGATCACAGCAAATTGTGGCTGACCTTGGGAAGAATGAGAATCTCACACCATCTCATCGTCCATATGCAAAACCTCCTTGGACCAGGGTGCAATGGTCAAGGACTCACTGCAGGGTTCAACATCAGGAAAAGAGAATGTCAGGGATGTGTCCTGTCTGCACACCTTTTCAATCAATACGTGGGACAGAGATCATTGGAGATGCGGGCCTCTGTGAGGAGAGGAGTGTGGCAACAGGATTGGAGGAAGACTCATCAAAAACTGTAAGATGAAGATCACACCACTTTGCTTTCCAAAACAGAGGAGGGCCTGAAGACCAGAAAGTGCAGGATTAAATTCTTCAATATGGATTGAAGCCCAACATCAAGAAGAGAAAGATCTCACCACTGCGCTAACCGGCCGCACCAGGATGGACGGAGAAGAGGTGGAGATTGTTTACAATTTCACCACAATCAATAATAACACTCTTGGCACCAGCTAACCGTAATCAAACGAATGTGCTCAAAAGAACCAGAAAATGCTACTGAGTAATGCTATCAGTCTAGGGACTAAGGTGTGCCTGATCCAGACCATGGTCTTTGCAATTATTTGCTATGTGCATTGGAGAGCTGGAAAATGACTATGAACAGATGAAAAAGCAATGCTTTTGGGTTGTAGTGCTGGAAAAGAGAAGCAAATATACTATAAGAACAAACAGGTGAGAGTTAGAGAGGGTGAAAGCAGGTTTCTCTGTGGAGGCAAGGATTTTCAAGCTTCATCTCACATACTTCAGTCACAGTCCTTGGAGAAAGACATCATGCTTGGAAGAGTGGAGGGACAGAGCAGGACAGAAAGAACATGGATGAGATGGACGGACAAAGTGATAAAGTCAGCGAGTTCCCAGCTATCTATAGTCCATAGGGGTCACTAGGAGTTGCAGGTGACTTGATGGTAAGTGAGGGTTTCTGAAGACCACTGAGCCTTGGCCGAGTGTTCACGTACATAGTTTAGAATACAGCGTACTACACAAAGCACATGAATGCATCCCCAAGGAAAATAGGGTGCCTTCCAGAGACCTCATAAGACCCAGAAGATCCAAAAGACCAAGAAACACCAAGAAAAGTAGCTGTGAAGGGTAATCAATGAGAAACTAAAGTCCCTGAGACCTTAAAGAAAATACAGACAAACAAGAACTAAAGTCCCTGAGACCTTAAAGAAAATACAGACAAACAAGAACCTGCTGTCCTGGAGATTTTGCAGAAAACAGAGGTGTGTTTCTCATGAGTTTGGTAGGGTTTTCTGGGCAAATCATGATGGAGCTTCAATAATATTAAAAACATTGTTTTTAATTTATTATTCATTTCAGTGAAAATTTACCTTGGATTTTCATTCATTGTTGCTAAAAACATTTCTGTTAAAGAGAAAACTGTTTGCTATGTCATGAGAAATGTAGTGATAATAGACTGTTTGTATTTTCTATACATACTGAAAGAAATAAACAATGGGGCATTAGTTTCTGCCCTGCCTACTGGTGCCAAGAGTGTTGACTGTGGAGCCGAGCAAACTGAAGCTGTGAACAATCTCAATCTCTTCACCATCCATCCTGATGCTGCCAATTGGTCTAGGGGTTAGAATCTTTGTCTTCTTGACGCTGAGCCTCAGTCCATACTGAAGGCTGCAGTCCTTGACCCTCTGCAGCAAGTGCATGAGGTCCTCCTCACTTTTGGCAAGCAGGGTTGTATCATCTGCATAACACAAACTGTTGATAGCTCGTCCACCAATCTCGACCCCACATTTCTCCTGATAGAGCCCAGACTCCTGGATAATCTGTTCTTCATATAGGTTGAAAAGGTATGGAGACAGAATACATCCCTGACACACCCCTCTTCTTGAATTTGAACCATGTAGTGTCTGTCTCCTTGCTCTGTTCTGATGACTGCCTACTGGTCCAAGGATAAGTGTCACTTTAGCACAATCAAATATTCTGGGATTCCCATTCTTCTCAGAGTTAGCCACAGCTTGTTGTGATCCACACAGTCAAAAAACTTTGCACAGTCAATGAATCACAGATAGACATTCTTCTGGTATTCGCTGCTTTCAGCTAAAATCCATGGAACATTAGCTATCCATCTAACATTAGCTATAATATCCCTAGTACCATGGCCTCTTCTAAACCTAGCATAAGATTAGATAAAATTGCCATGACAAGAATACAGAATAAGAGTTGCAGAGTAAAAAGGGAGGTGGGAGACAGGCAGCAGCGATGACTGTATAACAAAGAAAGAACTTTTTTCCCAAAGAAAAAAGTAAACTGGGGAACAGGGAGGAAAATGTGCGACAATGAATGAATGGAAATCCATGTTCTTTATAAACTTTCATGAAAACCTAAATAAATAAATAAAATTTTAAAATGACGTATCTTAAAGGAAAAAAAAAGAAATAAGAATCAGAGGAAAGAAGAAGAGTATTATTACAATGTGAGGACTGTAATAAATGTCATTAAAAAACCCGGTATGAACACTTGAATGGTAAAATGATTTGCTCTTTAAACCTTTACTCAAAGAATAAGAAAAATGTTCTTTAAAATTGTGAAGAAGAAGGGGAAAAAAACCGACACCAACAAGCACTAGTAGGGTCCTGTAAAACACCAAAGACAAGAGCCTTCAAGAGGGGCTGAAATGAAGAACACAAAACTTGTCAGCATTGGGAGGACAGCAACATATTGAAAAGTTGGGACAAGCCTTGATGTTACTCCAGATTGAAAATCTGGTTGCCAGAAGAGGAACTGATCCCATCCACCAGATGCTCTGCTGGAGAAGGAGGGGCAATCTCCTCCGGTGCCACTCTGACCCGACTGGACAGTACACAATAAAAAAATAAGAAGAAACAAATTGATTTTCATGAGCATCAATAGAACAAAAGTGTTACAGTACTAAGTATCTTTGGAAATGTACAAAATTAAATAGTTACATCTTGGATAAAGTGTAACCCAAATGCTCCTTTATGGTAAAGATGGTCAAGTTGTATTTCACAGGAGGGACTTTGGTAAAATAGGGAATTTATGGTTGGAAAATTGGAATGTCAGTAGAACAGAGAAAGAGAACCTCAAAGGCACCGATTGACACAGATAATGCAAAAAACTGGATCATATACGTCAGACATGTTAAAGTTGTTACCAATCAGAAAAGGATACGTAAGTGTGGTCTTGAGTCAAGGGAATCTAAATTAACAGCAAGAGTCCAGATTCTTTGAGCTATACCTTTATGAGCAGCGACATAGGTGAGAAATGAAATGTGAATCTTTTTCTTCAGTGTGGATGGCAATGCAGCTAAAGAAAACAAACATTTTCAAGCTAGACCAATGAATGTATTTTAAATGGAGAAGTGACTGATCTCTTCCAACTGTTTTGCTTTTACGTGGATCCAGCACCACCAGGTATGGATGGAAACGGCAGTCAAGAAATCAAAGAATAATACGATAAAAACCTAATCATATTGTTCACAGGGAAATTCTGCCACCAAATCCACTCTCCACTGTGACCAATGAAGTCACTTGGAAGAATAAAGAATACTGGAAACGTCTCATCATCTTGTCTGTCACTCCAAGGCTTGAGAGAGAACTAAGAAGCAGCCCAGAGAAAAACGGACGTCCACCTCAAGGCATTCAGCAGAAACAGAGGAGAGACAGACTCATCAATGGTCTCCAACACACCTATGATGGGGTGTATAAGACAAACCAGGATTGCTTGGGGGCTTATCACCAAGTGCAAATGCCTGTCCTTGCTGTAGATAATAACCCATAAAGAATCAATCTTCATCTCGATATTGGGGACTTGTGATGGCACCAGGAGTCACAGGCGACTCCATTTTCAGAATTAGATCACCCTGCCTTGCTTTCAAGGTGTTTCTGGGTGGCTTGGACATCCCGCCATTAAAGTGGGAATTAAATAGCTTTCATATGAATTGATGACAATTTAGAATCACTTAAAGGCTTAACAGAGGTCTGCGGTCAGTCAGGAGGAGTTTCATGGACTCCTATAGGAGTTTTCTAGGTAAAGTGATGCAGGTGACAAGAAAGGGGTGAGAGGCAATCGTTGCCTTCCAAATAAGAGGATGGAAACAGGCTTAAAAAGCACAGGCCCCTTATAACATGCCACACAGGAGGCCTGATAACATACCTGTGGGGCATTCTTCAAATACCTGAAAAAACCTTCAAGTTCAAATCCAGCCACTAATGTTCAACAGTTTGCTTCCAACACTAATAGTAGGCCCGGTAACTCCACTGAACCCTTCCAAGGTCACAATCACTTGGAATACACTTGATGGCAATGAATTTTGTTTTGATACGGAAACACTCAAATTATTTTAAATTTTAAAATCTCTAAAAAAAATGTATGCAGCAAGGAATGAATGGAAATGCAAAATCTCTGTAAATGTTCATTAAAATTATTAAAATTAAAAAATTATAAAAAAATTTTTTTAAATTTCACTTTTAGGTCTTCTTTATTTGCATGAAAGAGTAAACCACACTGGTTTTCAAGTCATAAGTCTTAGCTACCACTGAATCAAGCAACTGACGTTTTATAATATTTAAACAAACTCTTGTTACATAGTCCTCTTAACCATCTCTCCCTGGTAAGTAAACATTTCCCCTCCCTTCCTCCCAATCAACATTTGTTCTATATTATATATAATTTTCCTGATCTAAAAATGAGATGGTTAAAACAAAAATGAGATAGTTATGATAATTCCTATTTTTATAATAGGCTGAGAGTCAACTGAATTCAATAAATGATTGGATATTATATTAACAATCTAGGTAGAAATGGTGATTTACTGGGCATACTGTTCATAATGCTGTTCTTAGTAAATGGAATTTTCCCTGTGGTTGGAGGTGACTATCATTTAAGGGGGTGAGGATTACCAATACTAATCAATACTTATTAGTTAGTAATCGATAGACAATTCTCTATCCCATCAGCGCAATAGGTGGCTTGTTTAATACCGTGTTTGGGAACATACACAAGTATTGGACTTTGTTCATGTGTTTGCTGCTACAGAGTAAGAAAGTAAAATACCAGAATCCCCCACCAGTCTCATCATAGCAACAAATAAGAAACTTAAAAGGATAAATTACATGCAAGCACTAAGAATAAATTACATGCAAGTACTAACAGATGAAAAGTGATTAAATGCAAAACATTTTCAGGCACAATGCGAGATCATTTACATCATAAACAACATCAATTAAAGACCTAAAACGTGCAAAAATAGATTTTCTTACATCTAAGAAGCTGGAGCCTCAAAAAGGTTCTTACACACAGTTGTAAGAATCTACTGGTGTTTATCAAAAAATAAAGAAAAGAAAAAAGACAGAGTGAAAATGTATTTATCCTAGTGCAGGAGAGGAAATCAGGTCTCTCCAGACAGGAAAACAGGAATGTGATTTCGTCCAGGTCCCTTTTGAGCTTTTGAGCCACGCTGACAAGGGGACCATCTAGACCAAGATTTGGACCTAGAAATGATAAAATTCAGCATGTTCTGAATCAGGTGGAAGAAGTTACTGCTGTTATGCAAGAAAATATTACAAAGGTAACTGAAAGAGGGGAGAGACTGGATGAAACACGGGACAAATCCAAAAGCTTATCGGATACTGCAACTGCTTTTAGCAACAGATACACACAACTTGAAAGGCAAATGCGGTGGCGTGGATGCAAGATAAAAGCTGTCATGGATGCAAACTAAAAGCTATCATGGCTTTGGCTGCTGTGATCCCTTTGCTAGGGATTACCATTCTTCTAGCTGTGAAATACCACGCTTGATTTGATGACAGAGATTTTCATGACACAAGATCTGGGACAATAACAGGAAAAGACAGCTGCATAATTTCAATGAAACATAGGTATACACTTGCAAACTTGTTTTTCAAGAAACTGAAAGGCATGTATGACTTCACATTAGAACCTTGAGAATGTCCACCTATCTTCTTGTCTTCTAACTAAATGTGCTTTCAGAAATTATGGTGAAGGCAGAGGTCGTCAGCCTCTTTTTCGACCTCTTCCAAGGTTCTGATTTGAATCTCGATACTTGCCAGTTCATTCTTTACACATTACAGGTGCTTTACAATCAGTTCTCACAAGTATATGGAAATGACATGCTAAATATTGTCAATGTGGCTGCCTTCGGGTACTACCGAAAACATTCCAGTATACCTATTTTTTTACTGGTGGAGGGAATAGATATTATTATTATTATTATTATTATTATTTTTGCATCTGGGTGATGGGAAATGTGAAAAGTATCATTACCACAAAACTGGAGATAATAAAATGATTGGAGAGAAAAAAAAGTGGCTAAAATTGGAAAAGGCTTAGTTTGGTCAATTAATAAGCAAAACAAAAAAAAATGAAGCAAAAAAAGAAGAGAAACATCAAAGTATGTTTAAAAAATGCAAAAGGTTAAAAAAAGGGCATAAAAAATTCAAAAAAGGGGGACTTAGATAAATTGAGAAAGGTGAGATATAAATAGGAAATTAGCTATTTTTTTAAAAAGTTTTATAATTTTGTGTGTGTGTACCATCAAATCAGATCTGACTGGTACAAGAGGACATTGTCCCTCCTCCAGCAGAGCATCTGGTGGATTCAAACTGCACACCTCTAGGACTGCAGTGCAGCTTCTTGCCACTAGGTCCCCAGGGCTCCCTGGAAATGAGTTATATTTTAAAGATTGTTAACCAAAGGAAGGTTTTATCACAAATAAAGTCAGTGTTACAAGGCAAGATGGAATGAATGATAAAGTGATAAAATGATAATCACCTTGATTTAAGGATAAACAACAGAGGTGTATTGAATGACCACAAACAATTCTAATCAACTTTCGGCTACTAATATCAACCTTGTCACTTGATTTTTGCAAAAAGTGCCCATCAACAAACGAAGGGATCGAGAAACTCAGGTCTATTCACAAAGTGGAATACTACGCAGCACTAAAAAATAAGGCACTCATGAAATATTCTGCAAAATGGGTGAACCTGGAGGACATTATGCTGAGTGAAATATCTCCGTCACAAAAGGACAAATATTGCACAGGCTTTGACCTTCATGGAGGAGACTCTTTGGGAAGGAAAAACTGAACTTGAACTCCAGCATCTCATCCAGCCAGACCAACCCTGTGTTTTGTCATCTCAGTTCAGCCCCGAAATTTTACACTTTCAACCTCCAGAACTGGTCACCCTGCTTCTTCATTCTTGACTCTTTAAAATGTCAGCCTGACAGTGAAATTGTTCCTAAAAGAACTGTCAATACTTTTCTCCTTTATATGCTACAAACATGGTGGAAAAGACACCTCCTGCTTGTAATCACAGTGTCTCTATTCAACACCTGAGTTAAATAGAGTCAAAGAAGGCTAGATACATTCCTCATCTTTCTTTAAATGCAATTCTCAAAAAAACTATGCAATTCTGCAGATGAAGCACAGAAACCAGCAGCAGCTTAACTTGGAAGAGCTGTGATAACAATTATGATCTCGTAAAAGGGGTGAAAATTAACATTCAGCCAAGGAAATGGCCCAAATGCAATATTTAATTTCTGGAAGGCGATGATTTTTGCAAAATGCACCTGTCACTGTCTCCCTCCCAGGCCCCGCGCAGTGACCACCCCCCATCCAGGTGGCGCGCGGGGTGTGAAGCCCTGAGCGCAGCATCCAGCCTGATCATCCCCGGGGACTGACCACCACCCTGGTCATCTGCATACACTCCCCTCCAGATCCCCACGGGGAGTGACCACCACCCTGGTTCTCCGCGCACACTCACCTCCCGACCCCCCCGGGGACTGACCACCACCCTGGTCCTCTCCGGACACTGGTCAGCGGAGGCCGCTGGGGCTGGAAACGGCGGCGGCGGCGGGAGGAGGAGAGGAAGGCCCCAAGGGCTCAGGGACACAATGGCCGCGCGCTGGACCACAGCGGCAGCCCCCTCGGCGTCGGGACCTGCGGCCAGCTGTCCCTTGGGGAGGAGAAAGGTCAGAGGGAAGAAAGAACTGACCCTCGTCGTTGCGCCCCGGTTCTTTGTAACTCGGCGGAGTTCTACTTCCGGTATCTTATAAACCCGGTCCGTCACCAAAGGACGTCCGGGCGGGAACAGCGATCGGTCTCAAGGATTCCGCCGAGCTTTCGTTCCTACGCTTTGGGTTTGCATCCTGCAGAGTGTTATTTCCAAAGTTTTCATTTCCTTCCCAGCAAAACCGACCCAGAGCTGACCCCTCCAGGAGGCTTTCTTGATTTTTTTTTTTTAATTCTGATTTACTTACAAAATTAGAGAAGATTGCTTTTCACAAAAGATCTTTCCCATATCCTTCACCCCACCCAATCACCCATCCAAATTGTGTGACCCTATGATTAACACCAAACCCTCCTCCCCATTTTCATCTATTTTCACCCACTCCCCCTCCCAGCTTGGGGTGTCATACTCATTTTACAATAATCGTTTGATACAGTATTTGTCCATGTGAGCTTGAGTTAACAGCCTAATGCTCTCCAATCTCTCCCAAGTTAGGTAATCAGTAACAAAATGATTGTTCCTCTGTGCTGTGTAGTAGTTTCTTGGAGAAATGAACCACACCTTCTCATTTTATTGTGTAAATGTACCACAGCTTCTCAATCCATTCTTTTGTGGTTGGACATCAGGACCCTTTCCATGTTCCTGCGATGGTGAATAATTCTGCTATAAACATCTTTCCTGTTGAGCCTCAGTTCTCATTCTCTTGGGGTCTATTTCAAAGCAATGGAATAGCTGGGTCATATGGAATTTCTAATGTTCAGCTTTTTTTTGAGGAAGCGCCAAACTGACTTCCAGAGTGTTAAGTGCATGAGCTGGGCCATAGCTTTCCACAATCAAGCATGTATTTTGGGAGCAGTAAATGTTGATATTTTATCTATTTCAAAGATATAAATATCACACTTTGAAAAACCAATTCCTTTGCTCCTCAAATAATCCCCTTTCTTTAAAACTCTTAAGTGTTCATTGAATTGAACCCCTTCTTGTGACGCCTGAGAAATTACGATGTGGAAGAAATCTTCTAGGCAGTTAAGACTTTCTTCCATTAAAAAAGCATCATGCTATGCTACAAACCTCTTCAGTGTTGATGAGCAGTGTGAATTTTTAGGATTCAACCTGTGGCCTCAAATCTTGATGCTAGCAAAGCAGATGATGTGTGGTCTTTTGGGCTGCTTCTTCGCAATGCCTTGACAAGGTCATTGCCTTTGACTTTCACACATGCATTGGTGGTGTGGGACTTAACACCCAGTAAAATTAAAAAGATTATGGTGGGACTGCTTTCTTTTTCCCATCCCACCAATTTAAAACTGAGCAGGTTTACTAGCAGAAGATGGAAATTGCATCCCCAACAATAAAAAAGCAGCAGAGAGTGTGGGTCACATCCTTCAGAGGATGGGTGAGAATTTTGAGAGGCTGTCAACAAGAACTACATGTAGACTATGACTAATAAACCTCATTGTTGTCAGTCGAGGATAAAGTATTAAAAAAGGAGACAGAACACTAGGAATGTATAAACAGAGGTTAAGCAGGGGTTGAGCAGTTCAAACTACTGAAGCAGCCACAAGCCACACTTCTGTGTATTTAGTGAGAATCAAGGGAAGAAAATCATAAAGAGAATTATTTTGTAAATGAAACCACATTTTTCTCTATTGTCAGCCGAACGCTTAGCTCAAGAAGGAAGTCATTCACAACTGTAGAGTTTTAAAAAGTTTTTAAAATTTATTTTGTGTGTGTGTACCATCAAATAGGATCTGATTGGTACAGGAGAGATTGCCTCTCCTTCAACAGGAGAACATCTGGTGGATTTGAAGTGTGTGCCTCTGGGATTGCAGTGTAGCTTCTTGCCTCTAGGCCACCAGAGCTCCCTCCCAAGTATAGACTTTTAGTGTTTCCTGTGCAGGGGAAATCTAGCTGCCTCTTGTCTGCAGGAAGAAGCTCATTTGCTGTGCTCTGTCACAAGAGGAACTCCAGTGTACTATTTTGTGTTTCCTTGCATTTCTGATTGAACATATAGTTTATTATATAATATTTGGCTTCCCACACCTCATGACCACGAATAAGGGTCAGTGATGTCTGTGTGTAATAAAATTTGGACAAAGGAGCAGAATATGCTCCTTTTATTATTGATTATTATATTATTCTTGATTATATTATTGATGGGCTTCTCTTGAATGGGAAATACCTGGGTATGACCTGAAACCCAAACCCACTATGTCTATGGTTATAATCCCACATGACAATAAGGCTTCTTTGTATCAGTGTGTATGCAGAAACAGTATTTATGGACTGTTTATATTCTTTGAGGTTTCCACAGGATTGACTTGATTCTGGATCTTTTACAAGGTGAGTCCATCAGCACAATGGAAGCTGCATGTGATTTCTTCTACCAAGCATAGCAGATGCTCTGTGACCTGTTTCCTATCTAGATGATACATTGTGTGAGAGTCTCTGAAAGCCACTCTATTTTGGAAGGACTGTCTGTATGTGAGTTTAGATGTACCGCTGGGAACACCCAGTGGGGAAGGTGGCTGAAAACAGCTTACAAAGCAAGCATGCAGACATGTCCCCAAGAAAAACAAGATATGTTAATAAAACCCCCCAATAAGACCCAGAAGAGCATCTGTGACCTCCTAAAACAGCTGTGAAAGCTTAGTTGATGAGAAAGTAAAGTCTTTGAGGGCTTGTACAAAATACAGACTAACAAGAAGCTACTGTCCTTGAGAACTTGCAGGAGATAGAGATAAGATTCTTGTGGATTTGTTGGGATTTTTCTGGACAAGTGATTATGAAGCTCCAAATCCCAGCTGGTAAACAGCTAACAGGGACCTGAAAGTGCTCCCAGAGTGAAGGAGACTGGATGACAGTAGTCACTACCCTACATAAGGTGATAAGTAGAAATTGAGGATATTACTGGGTTATGAGGCAGCCACCATCCTGTGTACCGCCTCTTGCTACATTACTGCCTCATTGATTAAGAGAAAATGGTGCTAAGATTTCTAAACATAGAGTGGAAACCAGCTTAGAATAGTTCTGGAATATAATCCCTGGTTTTCCTTTTTTTAAAAAATTTTAAGGGGAGCTCTGGTGGCCTAGTGGCAAGAAGCTGCAACTACAATCCCAGAGGTGCACGGTTCGAATCCACCAGATGCTCTGCCGGGGAAGGAGGGGCAATCTCCTCTGGTACCAGTCAGATCTGATTTGACGGTACATGAACACAAAAAAAGAAAAAAAAATGAAAAAAAATTTACTAATTTTGTGCATTGCAAATAGAGATACCTTTTGACCCAGAAATTCCACTACTGGGAATATACACCAAAGAGACCAGAACCATCATCCAAGCAGATATATGCACACCCATATTTATTGTGGCTTTGTTCACAATAGCAAGGAGTTGGACACAACCCAAGGGCCCATCAACAAATGAATGGATAGAGAAGCTATGGTATATTCACACAATGGAATACTATGCTGCACTGAAAAACAAGGAACTCGTGAAATATTATTCAAAATGGGTGACCCTGCAGGACATTGAGCTGAGTGAAGTATCTCAGTCATAAAAGGACAAACACTGCATAGTTCCACTGCTATAAAACAGGACTGACCTTGGGGTTGGGGGGAGACTGAGAAAGATGGGTTCAATCATGTATACTGCATTGAAACAGATGAGGGAGAAAACTGTTACAAAGGGACATGTGATAAGGTATTTTTGTCATGACAAGAGTCCAGAATAAAGAGTTGCATTTTTTCAACAAGAAAAAAGTGAACCTGGGGGTGCAGGGGTGGGGCACAGAGGAAAATGTGCAACAATGAATGAATGGAAATTCAAGAGTTTTATAAAATTTCATTATAAGCTAATGAAAAAAAAGCCTCAGAAAAAAAAATGTGTCCAGAAGATGAGTCCTAACACAGAACACTCAGTCATCAGTGAAGGACTGTACAAAGTCAAGATACTTTACCTGTTTTTACTGTTTTCCTTATACCTGTTTCACTGAAATGTAATTCCCTCCATATAAGGGAAGCTCTTAAAAAAAAACCATGTGTTTCATGGTCATTTCTAAATAAGTGATATTTCCACTGTCCTCAAACCTTTCTCAGCCTCCACTGAGGAGACCAATGTGTAAGGTTATGTGACCGCCATAAAGCCAGTGTCCAGGCCTCTCAAATTAAAACAGGTCTTTTATTTCCTCTGGCCAAATCCAAGAGGAATGTCCGTGAGACCCATAATTTTAAGCATAAAGAAGAATGTATATGCAATGTCCTGTTTACCCCTTCTGTTGCATCTGGGGAAATAACACACATTTCCTGTTTTCACTCATTCATCTTGATCAGTCATTCCCTACCATTCCTTTTCATTCTGTTTCTTCTCATTCCTTATTGTCACTTTCTCTCACCCGTATTATCTCATTCTCTCTGACTCCTTCTCATTCTGTCTCACTTGCTTCTTCTAGCATCTTCTTTCTTGATTCTCTCCCCAACCCCCACTGATAATCTCTCATTCCCTTCCTCTCTCAATGTGATTTACTCCCTCTCATTCTCACTCACTCCCAGGAAAGGAGAGCTTCTGCAAGAATGAGCTTGTTGGGAGGGACAAAGGACATTCTGCAAAATGGTTCTTTATCTGAATAGCCAAGAAGGCTTTAGTTCTTTGAGAATGTATCTTTCTGCTAAGCTAAAGCAATTGTGGATTTTCTTTTTTCTCTGGAAAGCCAGAACATGTCTAAACTCACAACATCCTACTCTGTGGAAGCCATTTTGGACAATAGTCCCCTCAGTTTCTGACAAAGAATAAAACCCATTCTTCCTCCCAACACAGGGGTGTTTGGGCAATTCTTTCCCTTGGGTTTCCCTCCTTCAACAATTTATTTCCTCATTCTTACACACCTTCTCTTACTCACTGTTAGTTGGGTTTCTTGTGTTTTTTTTGTTTGTTTGT